GCAAATACGGCTCTCAAAAGACTAGAAGAAGGGATTTCTTGGAGAGAGAGAGAGAGAGAATTGGCTCTGCGTGAGGCAATGACGAGCTTCTTTTTTTCTCGTCCACAAAAAGTAAACTTGGGGTAAATAGGGATAGAGGGAGCTACTACACTTCTAGGAAATTTCCCAGTTTTCATGGGGGAAATGAACAGCCTGTTTTGGTAGAAGGCAGAAGGCATGGTTTATTCAGTTTGATAAAATGAAGACTGAGAAGAGATACAGTTGCTCTCTCTGTACATATTAAGAATAAGCAGGTGCTAAAAGCTGTTTAAAATTTCAAGTTGGTATAAGAATAACTGGGCATAATGGAGCTGTGAGTAAATCTGTTGAACACAAAAGGATGAGGGTGCACAGCCCTCCCTTTTGTTTCAGTACGTATTATTTCCTAGGGGGTGCAGTGGGACAGGGCAGTCTGCTGGGTGCTGCCATGTCCCAGCAGATGGACTGAGAGAGGAGGGGGCAGCAGGTCCTGAACAAGGGAACATGCACAGGGAGATGAAACTGGGGCTCAGAGGTGGCTGTGAAGCACCTAGTGTGCATGGTCACCATGCCAGGACCAGAGCAAGGGCATGCGCAAGGCAGAATTGTGAAGAATAAGCAGCTCTAGAGATAAATTAGCACTGGTATAGGCTGGAAACTTACACCAGTGAAGTAGCACTTCTTCCTGCTGCTGTGGTTTCTGTGCAGGTTTGGGGGGAGAAATGCTGATGACTTGCAGAAATACAGAGGGTGTAATGGAACTGAGAAACCTCCCACTTTACAACTTGCTACTTTTCTTGAATGCGTTCCTCATTGACTTGCTCTGATTTAATCTTCCTGTATTTTAAGATACCGCAATATACTTGATAAGACTAATGTGCTCTGAAGCTGAGGCATTCCCTGGTTGTAATTGCTTGCAGATGGGGAGCTTACCTTCCTCCTGGGTTGGTCTCTGAAACTTTTTCTTAGCCTTAAAGTATTCTGCTTGGCTTCTCTTGAAGGGACAGAGGATGTTTTGTGCTTCCTCATGGAATCATCAAGAAAAAAGGGCCAGGTGGTTTGGGGCTGCTGCATTTGCATAACCCTGAAGGGTGGCTTCAACTGATGATAAATTTTGACCTAACAACTGTGACCAAATGATCAGACTCACTGCCACCTCTCTGGGATGGACAGCCATAACAGTGCATGTGCTTGCAGAGCAACTCCTCCTGCTGCTCCTCTCACTGCCGAAAAGAGTAAACACCCACTACTGAGAGGGAGACCCAAAACAAAGGAGATCCCAGCCTGATCCCCAAAGAACAAGTAGGGCTCTGGAGCCTCCTGGGGCGTTCCTGTTGGAACTCCCACAAGTTCATTACTCTAGCCGTGGGCTCAAACAAGCAGCCCATTTGTTTGCACAAGTGGAAGCTCGATGCGGGTGGTGCAGTGGGACAAGAAGGTGGAGGTGGCACTGAGAGCACCGAGCTGCTCCATTGCTGTCTGGAGGTGCAGATTCACAAGAGCTGGAGCTTTCAGCTTGTGATGCTGAGGTGTAACTTCAGGACTTGGGGCAGGAGGTTTGTAAACATGAACAATCCTTCTTATGGGAATAGGCAATGAGGTAGTAACAACTCAGTGTGCATGGGAAGAGAGGGTCAAAGCAGTCAGAAGGGGCAGTAAGTATCTTGCTAGCACAGCCAAAGCGCATCCAGCATTTGAGGGCAGGAAAAGGCTTTTTTGCAGTAGAGGCAGGAATAAACCACCAGCATTGCAGCCACTTCATGGAATCACTCCCCAGGCATGGATCCTGCTCATAATCCTCTGCTTAAAATGTCAAAATGAGCACTCTGACAGCAGTACCCTGTCCATGGGGATGTGGGTCACTAGAGCATTGCCTCTTTCTTATCATCCTGCTGCAGCTCAGGACACTGCATCAGCTGAAAGATTTCCAGAACAACTTGCCTGCAAGCTTAGTTACACAGAATGCCTCAGCTTACCCAGTGAGAGTGGCAGAAGAGAACTTCCCTTTACAACAGCCATGATGTGGTCCTGGCCCCAAAGCAAACCTGAGCCTGCCAAGGCCTGGCTTTTCATAAACCTTGTACCCATCTCACTGAGCCCTTCTTCCTGCTGGGCCCTGTTGGCAGTGTGTGCTACCCGGGCTCTGCTACCCTGGGTGATATTTAGGGTGCATACACCTAAAACCTCCTGGGTTTAGAGTGTGTTTTGTTGCTTTTCGTCTGCCAGGGCAATGGGTGTGAGGTGCCTGCCTCTCTCCAGCAGCTTTGAGAAATCTGCTCTGGCTCTTCTCCCCACTGCCACTGCTGGTGCTGGAATGCAGCTTCCTTTGCCTGATTAGCTCTGTCAGTGGGGTGAGTCCCTCTCCTGTAATCAGTAACCGAAGCTGGTGTTGAAGACATGCCTCATCCCTCCTGCCCACAGTGCTGTCAGGCGTGGGGGGAGCAGTACCGCATCCAGCACCCTGCTACTGCTCTTTGGGAGGAACAAAAGCCCATCCTCACCAGGGAATCCTCTTCCTCTGTGGTCTTACGTTCAACCACAAAACATTTGTGAGTACTGCTGCGGACACCACTAAGATCCATGGATCAAGTGGGAGGCTGAATTCCCTTATATGTGGCTTTCTGCTCAGAAAGAGGAGTTTGTGGCAGTGCCCAAGGTATAGAGCAGCCTGGATGATGAACAGCCAGAGGTTTATAGGTCTTGCCAGCAGCACTGCAGTCAGTGCTGGAGCCAGACCTAGCTGTCATGTGAGAGACTGCAATTGTATTACCCAAAGTTCTGTTATCCAGCTCCTGTACTTAAATTCCTGTTCCACTTGTACCTTTCACAAAGCAGATTTCCTCTTGCCATCAGATAAGGCACTTGCATGTGGCCTGAGGTGATGTTTTACATAGTCTGAGTTTGCCTAGAAGTGGCTGCTTCCCCAGTTATCATCTGTACCAAGGGACACAAGCAGGTTGTCCTGGGTGAAATCAGTTGGCTTCTCATACCATTTGATGAGTCTGAAAGACATGAAGGATGAATCAGATTGTGCTATGATGTATCAGGCACATCAGGCTCCCTGGTGCTCCAGATACGCTTTGAACAACAAGCCCAGCCAGATGCAAGTGAATGCTTTGAGACCTGGTGTTCCCAGCGTGGCCTCTCTGCCAGCAGACAGCTGCTCACTGCCTGTTGGCAGGAGCGCACACACTTGGCTGCCTCCGACAGTGCTGTGTGTTCCGAGCAAGGGGCTGTGGTGCCAGAAGAGACACTGCTGCATGGCAGGGGCCGGGCCCAGGACCCCCAACTGACATGCCACATGTGGGACTGTTTCCAGCACACTGAGGGATCCTGGCTCTCTGGCTCCGAGTGACAGGCACACGCAGCCCTGCTCTCCTAGCTCCCTCTGCTCCGCACCAACATCGCTCCCACTGCTGCTTTCTGAGATTTGTGCTTTTTTCCTTTTACAAGCCAGCTTTCTTCCCAGTGCCAGTTTTCAGTTTCTGCTTGTGTGCGAGGAGAAGCCAAGCACTGAGTTGTTTCTGGCAGTGTCTTTTTAGTTTAGAGATGGGGTCTTCTGCATTTTCAGAGTACCAAAGAGCACCAGCACAGTTTACCACATGCAGCCTTGTTGTTCCCAGTGCCAGTGCACGCTTTGCAGCATTCAGGTAACAGTGTCGTTGGAAACAGGCTTCTTTTGAACACAGGTTGCAAGATAAGACCTACCTGAACTTTCCTTAGCAGCTTTAACTGTTACATTCCTGTGCACTGAGGAGATGAAATTGGCTTCTAAATGCACAGGAGCAGCAAGAGAGGTACTTGCAAAATGTGCTGGAGATCTAGAGAGGGACCTTAAGTCCCTGGGACCTCTTGGCAGTAGGCTGCAATGCCATGACCAGGGCTGTCAGTGCTACACAGCAGGTGACAGGAGAAGAACATGCACATTTTTGTGTGATGGGCACAACCAGTGCTTTGCAGGCAGTGGTGGTTTTGCAGGCACATGCCCATGGTTTTGCAGTGGGTAAAGTGGGTTTGGATACCTATGACAAAGTGCCCTGAAGGGCTTGTTGGGCTGGTGCTTTGCTGGTTTGAGGCCGTTTCAGGGAGGCTCCTACAGAGCGACGTGTTTAGAGCTGAGATGACCTGCTGTCCAGAACACTGTGCAAGAGACCTGGATTCAGTTACTGGGATTCTTGTCCTGTTGGGAGATATGGGGGAAAGTTTCTTTTCCCTGCTCTGCCTTTGTCTCCCCAGGGAGACAAACCACTTACTGCTTTAATAGTACCAGTGCAGGGGGGTGATGGCAGATGCTGTGATCACAGCTAAAGCCAGCTGCAGGGAACACATCTGGGTGGGCTGACACCAGCTATAGCCATCATTGCTTTGAAATGCCTGCCTGGGAGTTTTGACCATTTCACCCTTCATGCTGTGTTAGTGTAACCTTTAACATGTGATTTCCTCTTGATAGGGCTAGCAGAGGCAAGAGCTGGCCTTGATGGGGGTGGTCTTGGAGCTTTTCAGCTGCATGCACCCAATGCATTCCCCTGTCAGGGAGCTTTATGTGGGTACAGCATGTCCTGCCACCGTGCTCTATGCCAGCTCTGTTTCCCAGCGTACACCACCATTAATGCTGCACTGTCGGACTCTTGTGTGCAGCGGCTTGGGAGGGCATTGTAACCAGTTACATCTGCCCAAGGAACCTGGATTGTCCAGATCTCACCATGCTAGAAAAACTTCACCCAGCCCATGGGGAGACCTCCTACCTCAGGTCTGAAATGGGACAGGGGAGACTTTCTGCCAGGGTCTGACCCTGCTGGCCATGTCAGTGTTAGATAAGAGAAAGCACTTGGTCTGCAAAAACTCTTCTCATCTGTATCAGGGTCTCTCTCCTTGGCTGAAACCACTGCCTTGCCCCAGCTGGAGTCTTCCACAGTGTGGGGGACAGGAGCATGCTTGGCCAGGGTAGCTGCTGACCTCCTGTCTCTCCCATTTCCTTCCAGTCCTGGACACACAACATCCAGCGGGAGAAGGAGTTCCTGCGGAAGCTGGTGAAAGCCCGAGTCATCACTGATCTAACCAGTGGGATCTGAGTGGCAGCAGCCACTGCCTCCCAGGGAGGAGACGAAGATGCACGCTGCAGCTCTGGGAGCAGGCACTGGCAGCCCCCCGTAAGAATCCCACCTCACTGAAGACACACAGAGATGCCCAAGTGCTCTGGGAAGACCCTCTCGCATTGCCAGTCTGCACAAGGGTTGCATCTGCTGCCTCCTGGCCTAGAGCTGGCAGGAGGTGGGCAAGGGGCTGAGTGGGCAGTTCTTGAACTCTGCATCGCAGATGGATCTTCTGTGTCCTGAATTAAACAGGAGAGACTCAGGAGAGAGAAGAAAGGTTTGTGAATAAAACGATTTGTGCCAAATGGGAGGCGATGCTGCCCCGAGGCAGCTATGCCTGAATGTACAAAGTATTATTTTTTAAAAGAAACTCTGCTGGAATCACACTAGAAATACCAAGGTGCAAGGCAAAGACTGCTTGTGCACAGCCCTGCGAAACACCTGGCCTCTTCGTGCTCCATCTGCGTTGTCATCGGCCTCAGACCTTTCCCCAGGAAAACAAATCCATCCAAAACTTCGGTGGTGTTGGTGCTGCTATAATTTGGAGGGAGAATAATGTCTTTCCCTCATCCTCCACTTGGAGCTTCTGGATGGAGATGAGCATGGGTTTGTTTTTCTGCACTTTTCCTTGCTTCCTCTGTAGAGGCAGCAGCAGCCGCCCCTTACTTGGCTGCATTTTCCATAGCCATTTGTTCTGCCTCTGCTCTGACCCCAAGGTGGAGTGGGGAGCCCATGGCTTTCTCTGCCTGCCTCAGACCTTCCCCACCTTCCTGCCTGTCATGGCACTGAGGAGCCTGCCTTGTTGTGCTCAAGGCTTTCAGGCCTCTTGGTTTATGCCTGCTGTGCAGGGCCCCTGTGGAGTTCGTACAGATTGGTGTCACCATTTCTGGACAGCATCTTGCTTTATTTTTGTGTGGGAGAGGAGTAAATTATTCTTTGGAAGGAGATCAGATCTTGCATGGAGATCTACAGCTTTACAGCTTGAGAGCAGGCCACTGAAGAAGTTCGTTTTACTTTCCAGACTTGATCATGTTCCCTATTTAAGTGACGTGTGACCTCAGTCATGATGGAGCCTGCTGGCACGGGTGGAAGCCTGCTGGGAACCCTCACCCGCTGCTCGACCTCTGCTCACTTCATTTCCAAGCTCCTCCCGTGCTGACCTAGCACTGCTGCTCCTCCTGCTCTCAGGAGCACATCCCTTCCTTTGCCGTCTTGGTTCCAAGATGCAGTATTTGCACATTTGATTTGTATACTTATTTCAGAGGAGCTGGAATAAACTGAGCAACGTGGCCAAGTGTGAGGACAGCAGGGTGGTCTAATCCACGTGGAGAATGTGGGCAGAAGGGGGATTGCCAGGGGAATGGTTACAGGTGGAAATTGGCTCCTGTGCTCTTCTAGTCTGGAGCAGATTGGACTTGCACCCATTGGCATGATCCTGAGCCAAGTCCCTGTGTGTCCAGTCCCCAGTGTGCAGCCAGCCAGTGCTGGGTCAGTGGAGAGGGGAGCCCCAAGAATGCTGGCCAGGCTTATGGTCCTGGAGCTGCATCTGAGATAGCCCAAGGATTGCAGTCTGCCTTGCTCTGAGCTGAAGGGAGAATGTGGTACTAACATGGACAAGGGATGTTCAGAGCAGGGCTCACATGGTTCCCCTGGGCCGCCTCTGTTCCCACTGACTTGTAGGGGGCTGTGGCTCTGGGGCTGAGACCCCAGAAGTGATGTGCAGGAGGGGCAGAGGAGCAAACTGTATGGAATGGTTTGAGACCACCCATGCGTTCCAGGCTGCAGGCAGAGGCAGGTCTCAGGACATGGTGCTGGGTGCTGCCCACAGACCAGCATGGATGTGCCCCTCAGGAGCCAATCCTGCATCCTGCTCCTGTAGCCAAGGAGCTTGCTCACGGGCAAGTTCTGTCTAGCTTCTGGTTGTGGCTGCTGCTTGCCTTGTAGTTTGGGAGCAGCTCAAAGATCCTACCTCTTCCAGGCCATGGAAGACAGATGCTTCCTTCTCTTTCCCCTTCCCATGTCCCTTCTCCTGTTCCTTCTCCTGTCCCTCTGGCCTCCCAGCCAGCTAGTCCCTGCTCCCCCTGTACATGCGTCTTCCCAGGATGCTCTTTGAGGTTTCCAGCATTGAGAGCTGGAGTTTCCAGCAGGTTTTTGAGTATATGCTATGGCAAATACTCCTTTGAGTATTTTCTCCCTGATTTGATTTTACTGCTGAAGGAGCCCAAGGGACTGGGTTTCCATTGCTCTTGCCAGGCAACATTCCCTTTGCAGTTCCTGATATTAGCCTGGAGCTGGGACCACTGTCCATAGAGTCCCTGACAGAGGGTGCCTGGGATGGACCTAGCCGAGGTTGTGGCTGGGGAAGGGTGGGCACCCACCCTCTGCCTTGGTGCTTGAACTGGGTCTTTAACAGCTGCTATGGGAGCCTTGGGGCAGTGATGGGCCACATCTGTATGCTACAGTGAGCTGAGATGCCAGAGAGCTGGGAGATCCAGCCAGGAGGAGGAGAGGAGCGAAGAGCCTTAAAGGCCTGTGGTGCACTCCTCTCCACCCCCTGGGGGAAGCACTGCCATGAAGGTTTGTGATGGCAATGATACGATTATGTTTTACTGAGCACTACAAAGCTATGGGACACCTGTATCTTCCAACTCACTGGCTCCAGGTCCATGGAGAGAGCATGGCCCCTGCTCTGCTTTCCCTGGCATCCCAGCTTCCCACTATGGCCAGGGACAGATCTTGAAGGGAAGCCATCCCTGCAGACCAGGGAGGTGACTCGAAGCCCTTTCTTCCACCTTTGAGAGGGTCTCCAGGCAGAAGTGCCCAGACTGAACAGATGAGTGCATGGCCCAGGGTGACTGTGGTGGGAAAGAGAGGATGTGGGGTTGCTTGTGGGGCAAAGGCTCCCCTCTAACTCACTGTCCCCTTTCACATTGGTGGAGCATGCACCCCTGCGGAGCAGCCCTGTGTCTGGGTGACGGGGTGTGCACACTGCAGCACCCCAGAAGCAGTGCTCAGTGCTGGGTTTCACTCCTGGATGCTGTTCCTCTGGCTGCCTCCCCACATGCACCTGCAGCCACCTCCCGCACTCCAAAACACGGCAGTCCTGCCAGCTCGGAGCGGTGCGCGGGTCAGAGCAGGGTCAGTGGGACGGATGCGAGTCTTGGCCTCTCCCTCGCAGTGACTCACCTTTTCAGCTCGGAAGGGAGAGCCCAGGGGAATTCTCCACAGCCTAAATATAGAGCGGGGTTGCCTGGTGCCTCTGACACGCTGCGGTGCAGAAAGGCCACTTGGGTGGCAGGAAACCTGCCTGCAGAGATGCTGGAGAAGTGCAGGAAGGTCGGAGAGCCAGCTCCCAAAGCAGAGTGTCGCTCCGGCTGGTGCAGAGAGCAAGCGTGGAGAGCTGCAGGCCAGCCAGCACATGCTGCTTTGGGGGACAGGGGCTGCCAGAGAGATGCTGCTGCCCTCACCACACCATGAGCACGGGCTGCTCATGCGTTTGTGTCTTACAGCCCTCTCCAGAGCCCACCACCTTGGAGTCGGGCTTCCTTCATGCTTGTGGCCTCAAGCTCACACGTGCCAAATGGAGGCACCACAGCCAGGGAGCAGGAGGCAGTAGGGGATCCCCTGCAGCCCAGCACCCCTCAGCCCAGCACCTCTGAGCTTCCAGAATCTCCTTTTCCTGGGTGGGAGCTGCAAGGAGGCCCTGCCCTGGCAAGCTGCTTGGGAAAGGGGGAAGGTGTTGGGACAGGTCTGTCTGTCTAAACCAAACAGGGGCAGGCAGGCTGGGGTCGGGCAGCACCAGGGATGGATAGGGGCTTCCAGACTGCCTGGCAGGGAGGTGGCCACCGCACTGAGCTCCACCAGCACAGCACATGCCATCAGTCCAAACAGTGCATCACACGCAGTATTAGAGATGTGCCCTTCGGTGCGGGTGACCGAGGCCACCACCCAGCCACTCTGGGCACAGCTCCTTGTACCCTGCACAGGGACTTGCTCCAAAGCCGGTGGTGCACCAAGCTGAGATGTGAGAACTCAATGAGTTTTTAAAATTAGGTTTAGTTCCTGTGATTTTTTTTAATTTCCCCTCTAGGCAGGGAGGGCAAGAGTTGTGTAGGCTCCTCCACGCCGGCTTATGTCACATCAATTCAGTCATATCACAGAAGCAATAAAGCTATCAAACAAGCTTGGCTGGCCTCTTTCTTCTCATGCCTTTGGTCTTTGTTTAGGGGAGGCAGAGGGGTTCCCCTGCTTGGGCTGTTCCCAGCCTGGTTTCACTGCTGACTCCTCCAGCACAGTGACCCAGATGCCACTGGTCTGATGCCAGGGACCGGAGAGGGCTGTGCTCACCACCTGAGGGGTGGGATTGGGGCTTGTGCGTTGGGTCTGTGTCATGTTGGGGAGCAGAGGGGTGGCGGGTTGTCGTTCCCAGCACAGGCTGCCTGTCACTGCCTGGTCTCAGGGAGTCCCTGCAGCGCGGTGGCTTCCTGCCACAGGTCACAGCAACACTCAGGCTGGGTGTGGCCCCGACAAGTGACCTTCTCACCACAGTGTCCAGGAAGGAAGCAGTTTAGGAAGCTAAAGGCCGAGGCTGTGACTGGCTCCGACACCTGCCAGGTCCCAATGGGAGGAATGTAACCACTGTGGCAAGTCCCAGCAGTGCCGCAGGGACAGTCCCGTCTGGGCCAGGGTGGCTGCTTGCAGGTGGGTGACCAGTCTGACAGCCCTGACAGCTCCTAAACACGCAGGGGTCCTGCCAGCACTGATGGGACACCACAGAGGCAGCTGCCCAACCCTCCCCAGTGTGTGGTGCAAGTTCAGGTCCCTTCCGGAAAGGAGATACTGGAGCTGCTCAAAGCCTCCTTCCTGCCCTCCTCTCTTCCCAGTTCTTAAAGAGCAAAGGCCACTGCTGCCATCAGGCTGGGCCAGCCCCAGAGGTGGCCCATGCCCTGGCCTGGCCTTGGAAGTGCTGAGGAGATCAGAGCCTCAGACCAGGGAACATGGGGACAGGTCAGCAGAGACAAGGACACTTGCTGTTGGAGCAGGTGTCCCCAAAGGAGCCATATCACTGCTGAGATGGGAACGATGCAACCAGTTGGTCTGTCTGCATCAGAACTCTTTCACATGTGTTTTGTCACACTCAGACGTGGCCTCACACAGGCACAGCAACAGCCACGGCATGCTCAGTCTTGCCGTCTGGCTGGACCACATCATCCCCATCCCACTTCACGCAAGGGTGGCACCTTCAGGGACAGACACCACAGCAGGCCCCGGCACTGCAGGGCTCCTTCCAGACCAGAGAAGGGATACCCCAGCCCTGGGGGTGCAGGAGCACAGGGTCCCACAGGTGCAGGAGCAGGCAGTGCCTTGGGAAGCACCAAGCCAGCTGCTGCTAGCAGCAGCCAGGGAGCATGTCACCCATCTGTCTGGAGACCTGTGGGGCTGGGGACCCTGCCCTGTACCCCAGCACCCTGTGGGGCCTGGCCCACACTCAGCACTCCCCAGGGCAGAGGCAATACTCATGGGAGCCCAAGGGGAGAGCAGTGTCCAGATTCAGGCACAGAGTGGGACGTGCCTCTTCCTGCCACTGTGATCTCAGTGGGACAGTGAGGAGGTGTCACTGGCAGGCAGGCAGGACGGACATCAGTGGAGCTGATGGCAGCAGCAGGGTCACATCTCCCCGAACAAGGGCCAGGGGCAGTGGAGGGAGCCAGGGCCCCCATGTGTTTGGGGTAGTGGCTACGAGGGGAGCACAACTGGAAGAGGACAGAGGCCAGGCTTTCACAGGACTCACTTGTATGCGGTGCCCTGGATGTTCTCCCTGTGCCTTGCCCACACAGCATCACACCCACAGCAGCCGCGGGCTGTGCCTTGGAAACATGAGGACCGACCCAACCCACACAGAAGGTGGGAGGGGACAGGGTAACCCCTGGGGTAAGCCAGTACCTGGGGCTGTGTCCGGGCTGTCCATGGGAGAGGTAGCCCTCCCTGCC